TATCCATGGGTGGTGAGAGGTTAGCATATGATAACCATATGCGGCGAGACGTTAACAGATGATAGCCATGTGTGGTGAGAGGTTATCAGATGAGAGCCATTAGGGTGAGAGGTTAACAGATGATAGTCATGGGCGGTGAGAGGTTTACAGATGAGAGCCATGGGTGGTGAAAGGTTTACCGATGATAGACACATGAGGGGAGAGGGTATCAGACGAGAAACAAGAGAATTTATATTAAGAATTTAAATTATACATACAAGCAGTGTAGCATTCTTTCATCGCATTAATTTCCTCATTGGTGCTTGTGCACAGTATTTCAATCAAGCATTCCTCATCAGTGCCCAGTCCCTAAAACACATATAGTAAATTATACAATTGAAACAGCATTTTCAAACCTTGTCGACTATAAATGCCAGTGTATGTAAAAAACAAATGTGATTATATGAAGACCAATAATTACCTTTAATGCATTGCGAATACTTTCAGCATCCAACTCTGCCGGTGTTCTCAATAAGGCCTCGCATGTCTTTCTGAAGTTACCGCTTGTTTCGCTGTGGATATCTTCTATGAGATCCTGCGAAGAAGTCGAATATAGGGCAATGTTAGAGTACGCAATATCCCTACAGACTCGTTATATGCACTGTTCATTTTTGCCAATATGAACCTCTAAATGTCATTGTCCTTTTATATTCCATCCAGAATACTTCTGAACTATTGATTATAACTGCACCAGTGAGTATATTATTTAATACAACATACTACGATGATATCATTCCCGTGGTCACAGTGACATAACATTTCTAGAAGCACACACCTTTCCAAACAAGACCTTGTACTCTTTAGATATAGCTTGTCTCTGCTCATTACTGCTAGTTGTCAGGACTTCGATGATCGCTTTATTGTCGGTACCTTGAGAAGAAGGAAACCCATACACTGTTAAAATGATGTGAAACTCTTATGTTATGTTATAAAATAATTCATTGAATCTGCTATATTCATTTCGTTGGTGTACGCCACATTGTCTACTAAAGTATGTATTCTCGGGGCGGACATCCGGGCATTACGTTGTTTTCATGTGTGCGTACAAAAACAATCATCGATCAATACTACCTAGTGTGCTTGGTAAACATATATTTTAGTTTACGATATACCATGATCCAATCTAACCCCTCAAATATAAATATTTTCAACTATTTTTTACCATTAATTACTTAAAGCAGGAGGGTGGTCACCTACGCACGCGCGGGAATTAAGTCTCAACCGACGATAACAACACACGTTAAAAACGCTATGGCCATCTGACGCATGCGTAGGTGACGACTCTCCCACTTTAAAGTTAGTTGAAATTTTAATACGAACCAAGTCCTTTCATAGCAATTTTACACTTTTGGGCCTCGAATCGAGCATCGATCGTCGCCCGGTATACCATTGTACTTTGCTGAAAACATGAACACACGCGGAGTATTATGTTAGAAAATCTATAATCACAGGATTTGAAACTGAACTGTTTTAATCTTCATATGGATACTATAGGTGTGGCAGCTACGTTAAATAGTAATACGTAGTAATGTACGTTTAGACAATTTATTGTTTTGGTGTTTGGTTCAAATATCAAACAAAATAGGTTAAAATTTAAAGCTTTTAGGTCACATGACATCCAAACGAATATGACGCACACTGGAATCCAGCAAACGGTCAATCGGACTGAACAAATTGATCTTCCCCAACACCCACTCATTCTCACAGCATATTTCTAGCTTCGGAAAGTCGTTAGATTTTATAACTTTATGAAATTAGGTTATTTATATCAAAATTACCAAGCGTAATTGGTTTGGGCGTCGGAATTACTATTGAAATGAGAATGTCATGGGCATTTTTTTTCAAATCAATATCCTGCCGGTGGTTAAAGGGTGGCAGTCGTCGCGCTGCGCAGTACAACATTTGTGTTGATAAACATTGATTTTCCCACAATCCAATGCGCTTTTCTAATCAAAATCACAAGTATGAGATATGACCTGGGCACGACTTGCATTAATTACCGCCGGTGACTCCTTCGATACCTTCTAATCACCTAAAAAAAAACTAATCAAAGCTTTGTAACGGCTCAGTTTGTACTGGTTGATCTGCGCAACAGTCAACAGTCGCCATCTTTGTTTATATGAGACCCATATATATCGCGCATGCGTGACGACTACCGCCCTTTAAATATCAATGTGAAGTTTATGTCAGCCTTGCATTGTAGATACATCAAATATCAAACTTAATGCACATGCGTGTTCCGAGGCCATATAGCTGTACGTTATTGAAATACAGTATTCGACAGCCAGAATTAAAACAAATTAGTAATATTTATACATACGTTAATGGCTACAGAAGCCATTGCCGATTCTACTGCTGCAGCTGCAGGTGCCTGGTCCTGAGCCGGAGCCTGGGCCTGAACAGGAGCCGGAGCCTGAGCCGGAGTTGCAGGCGCTGCCGCGGTTTGTGCCTGGGGTGTAGTCATCGTTGTTACAGTGTTGTTGTCTGTGATAAATATTCCTGCACATTATATACAGTGAAATGTAGGCATTGAAATATTAACCCACAGAGACCCAGTCTACTCTTATCTGGGTCCCGAGTCTGCTGTGTATTCAAACGAGTGTTTCTACTGTGCAACGACAATTATCCCGCTCAATACCATAATAACTGATCACCAGACTCACCCCCTGCCTGCTTTTATTTTATGCTAATTTTCACAATCTCAGACAAAGGTCAGTGTTACTATGCAAACCTTTGCACGTCCATGAACAATTTGTATTGGTCCCTATAATAAAAAAATACTCACCAGATTGATCTCAAAATACAGAAATATGTGGTGAAAGAATCGTTTGTAGTTATAAGATTGGTACTTAAGGTTTCTTTGAATTATTAGGCATTCTGATGATCGGGTATTTATTATGTAGTTTCTAAAAATATTTTGTACTTGGTAAAAAAAAAACTTGGCTGATGGTATATGCCCAAATGAATAATTAACGAACGTCAATGTCCAGAAATTCTTTGCGTAAAATCAGTTGTGATATATACTGATTACGATTGAGCCTTTTTATTTTAGACATTTAGAAATTGTATAGTGTATGAATGTTGAGCTATGTGTCAGTTTTATAGAACGCATACATTGTATTGATAAATTCTTTATCCCTAAAGATGTTTATTAATATCGTAAAATATGGAATAATACTATATTTTGGAAGTAATAATAATAATAAGGTTATTAATATACTGTAAAATACTTTATTTTAGCTGAAAAAAACAATTTGGGTGTTTTTTTATGGAATTTATTATCTTCGGCGAGATAAATGTATAAAACATACGAAACAAACGTTCGCTGCATTTTATTTGCATTGAATCATCCCTTCAGCGAAAAAAAGCGATTATGAATTCCGAGCGAAAATAAAGTATTTTACAGTAATTGTATCGTAAATTTAGAACGGTCCAGCAATGTTATGATGCCAACCTATCGATCGGAATGGGCGTCGACCATTCCAAGCAATATCTGCGGGTAGGCACCGTCCTCATTTATTCATTTCAGTAAACATTCAACAACAATTTTTTGAAGGAATACCAAATTCAAATAATGGTTCATTATGTTTATGTTTTCTTTTTTTGAAGATTAGTTTTAGAATTGTTCATTACTAACGCTATAATTATTTGTTGTCGATTATATTGTTTTAATTTGAATATTGTATTTTTGTCCAGGGATTATCTAAGACGTGGACCGTCTATTTTTAGTAACATACAACGAATACAGTAAAATTGCTATAATGTGGCAATTGTCTTCTTACACTAGTCAATATCGTCATTATAACCATGTTAGTATGTAGGAAGAGTTTCACACTATGTTGTTTTCTTTAATTTTAAAATAATTGAACACGTGTTAAGATTGTTTTAAATCGGAATATTCGTATGCGTCACAATATTCTTCCACGTCGCACTCTTCTGCGCTGCAATATGCCACTTCATCAATGAGAAACACGTGTATAGATATATTTATTTATGTTAGTATCTGAGTAGCGGAAAAACATGGACTTCATGACCAACATTTACAGCAATGATGCAATACGGCTCATACGAAGAGTATCGACGCGACATGCGTCATTTCAGTTTAACAAGAATATGAACACTTTCCTTTTCAGTTCTACTATTTATCGGCAGTTTTAATGCTGAATTTAATCATGTTTATACAGGTGAAATCAATGGTCAGAATACAAATTAAATTGAAACTTACCTTCAGTTGAATTACTGACAGTTCTACCTTGCCTGTGTCTGACTTCAATAGGCGTCCGATCTCAGATGTATATTTGCAGAAACGTATTAATATTCAATAGAGCAGTGATTGGGTAACCACTGATATAGATTAATGAATATTCAAAGAGGTCAGAGCATAATGTCGACTATTTTTACACTGTGACCTCTGTTCTGTGTGACGTGTGCTGGTAGGCGTGGGTGTGTACGCCACGCGAATTGGTCGTTATTTAAAATATTAGGCATAATTTTCACAATTTCTACACGCAAGCGATCTCCTTTGTACATGTATGACATATAAAACTGGTTGAGTTCAAATTATGATAACAAGGAAACACATCACCAGGTGTTTGAATACTTAAACATGCTACTTTGTTTGTGAACATATATGCCGGTCGAAGTGAAGAAACAGTACGATCAATACAGAATTACTGATATTACACCGCATACGTACATTGACAAGACTACGTGTACAGTTAGAAACGCTAGTGCACTGTCCTTTGCAACCTCAATCTATTAAGAACGTTGATTGCTAAAATTAAAAATCAAGTACCTTCAAATGCTACAACGTCATCCTTTAATGTATTCACCACACTAAATCAATAATCGCTACCAAACATATAAACCAAACACTCACCTTGGAAACTGTTGATTAAAGTTATAAGCCGTAACATGTAGCTAAGGAATTATCTCATTTCCAATACCGAAGTTCAAATGATTTGTCATGATTAATTTTGGAGAGAGCAAACTATACTAGAAACCAGCACACGAGTAACAAGATTACAAATAATACAGGGAAGTCTGATTGAGAACCAACTTGAGGATCTCATACCATTCTCTTATTTTAAAAAAACGCACTTTCCCATGTGCGCGAGTATCGTTGACCCCAAGCGATGCCCGTTGGTCAATTCAACATTCTATGCGTTCTTTCGTTTTTATGTGTAATCGAGTGGGGTTTATGTCACGATACCACACATTATCTTGAGTCATTATAACTTGTAATGTTATCACGACATGGAGGTAACCAATGTTGGGCAATGGTACACCCCTCCCAAACCAAGTCCAAAAAACGGTACATGTGAGAGTTACCCAGATGCACATACTAATATAGTCTATTGGTTAGCAATGCACTGCATACTGTCACCGCAACAAAGGCAATCCCTTCATCTTTAGAAATATTTATCAATTTGACAATTTAAATTGAAATAAGACATTCTTATTAGCCGATTCAATACCACTAGAAGTGTTTCAAGTGACGTAATTGCCCATTCTGCTTTTTGATTAACTGATTGGATTAAACTTACACTAGAATGTTTCTATATTTACAAAAAGGAATACCTTTGTTGCGCTGAGTGTATTTTAAATTTTGCCATTATGTCACGCGGCTAATGGCGGAGAAGAACAACTGTAACAATGTGTTGCCGGATCACTTTTATAATCTGACACAGAAAAACATAGAAACTATTCACAATCTTACTCTGCATAAAATAATTACAAAATCGTTCTAAAAATAGAACTAACTTAAAAAAAGGAACATTCTTCAGCGCGTAAAACGTATCAAATATGAGCAAATGTGCGCAGACGATAACATCAATTCCAACCTGACTACGTTACTTCGCTTACACTTTTCTACGATTCGTTGTGAATTCCAGGGAATGGTATTGGCTGGTAAAAAGTTATAAATACATCTGTCGCTATTCTATTTTTATTTTACTTATATGTGTACCTCAATCGAACGTGCCGGTCTTCATGAATAATTAATCACATGACATAATGCATAGTGTCGTAATTCGTGACCTACGCTCTTCATTGAAATTGTGCTATAATATCACAGGGATCCAGGAACTATAGTAATAGTAATACAAATAAACAATAATAAAAGAAAATATACATTACAGTGATAAATAAAACTATCGTCACTCGCTAGCCGAAGCCTCGTGTAAAGCGGGGTTCTAGTGTAAACAAAGATACATCATTAACAAATCCACACATCTTTCTCTGACTTACAGTTCCAAATTACGGGCTAGATTGTGCTTATGGTATTATTTCTTCTTTCACATGAACAGTAAAATAATTGTGTGTTTTTTAGTAGACATGATTGCATCGTTAATCACAAAGGGTCGAATAAACAATCTCACAATCAATAGTAAGAATAACGGTTATCATAAAAACGTTGCGATCTTTAACGATTTTTTTTTGATTTTTTTGTAAAATATTTACTTTCAGCAGAATATCAAATGATTTGGGTTGTGATGCATATTATTGTAAACTGTGAAATGAAATGTTACGAAACTTGTCTTAGATAATAATAAAAAAACAACAACGAAAGATGGGATGGATACATGTTTCTGACCAACGATAGAGGGTGCACTGCTCCAGATGGTTTTCCAATTTTCTGGTCAAGTATTCAGTACGCCATATAAATATACCTTTCTGATAAGTGGCGCCCTCTAGCGAGAAAGTGATTTCGTGTCACCAAATGATGTGGATGGATATAAGCAATGCCGTTGAAATAAACAACAGTGTTTGGTTTCGCTAGAGGGCGCTACTTTATTATTTCCAACAATATAGCAATCGGTAATTACAGTAGTAAAAATAAATTCTTGCAAAAAATAAACTCACAAAAATACAGACAAACTAGTGATTAAAATGTAAAATTTATTAAAATAATACACAAATATTACAAGTCAATGCCATGTGTTTTGTTCAGTCGCTTTTGATGATACCAGCCTACAAGACACAGTAATATAAGTTATTTTGAAAACAACAAACAAACAAACAAACAAACAAACAAGACAGAGGTACAGTAATTTCACTGATTAGCTATCAAAAGTAGTTTGAATAATTCTTACCATTTAAGTCTTACTTGTATGTTAATATAACGCGAACTCCTTTACTACACTGGACCAAACACTTGTTCGATTACAATAGGAATCGGTTCTTAACTCTACTGGATCACGTATCGGTCTACTGGTACTATTTAAATAGTGGTGCTCTATTATAAAAGAATTCGCGTGTGATAGAACCACGAGCAGAACTTACAAATAAATATTTGTAACAGAATACAAATAGTAGTAACAATATCAGCTCTAAAGCACATATAACACATATAAAGCAATACGTGCACCTCCATATAAGATGGACATGTTGTTTGAGTAGACAACGCAATACACGAATACCCGGAAAAAAAACATTCAAGTTACTGGTCAACGAGCGCATCTCTAAAACTGTGCTCTTTGAAGTGAAACAAATTTAAAGAATGATATAATTCTCATAAAAAATAAAGGTACAATTGTTTTGACAAGTTTAAAATAGAAATCATAAGCATCCGTGCGCATCGACTTTTTGACAAGAAACATATTTTTTTCTGGGTATTACAATCATAACAAGTATGTATCTCTTTCTCTCATATTAAAGCGGGGGAGTTTTCACCTGCGCATGCGTAAGATGGCCATAGCGTGTCATTGTTTACAAACAAACGTTTTTAGCGTGTGTTGTTATCGTCGCTCGGGACTCAATTCCCGCGCGTGCGCAGGTGACGACCCTCCCGCTTTAAGTATATTACAACATGGAGGTTTGATTACAAGGAAACACTCAACATTACGGCTGGATGAATGGTACCTACTGTGCGATATGATATTTGAAACTGAACAAACGACGTCATGCAGCCACCAATGAAATGTGGCCAGACAAAACACTTGGCAACAATAATAGATTATTTCCAATGCCCTGGGAGATCTCGCGTGATTTCGAGCGTGCCACAGGTACGAAACAATTATGACCGCTTCTTTGAAATTAGAATTATGGTACTGAAACTTTGAAATAAAAATAATTTGTTATGCTGTGCTGGTGTTATTTACATGGTTACCCTATGCCCGTTGAACCTGGACTACTCGCATTCTTTTACTGGTCATTTTTCACACTTATTTGCCAGTTGAATCACATTAAAACATATGATATAAATCATGACACAATATTATTCCATGGTAGGAACGTTTACAAAATCAGTTCGTATTGATGTATTCATAATAGCTAACGGTAGATTGAAATATGGGCGAATCAAAATATCACAATGTATGACGTCAGCCAAACGACTTCTTCCCTTAATGGTAATACATGTATCATTAATGCAGGTTGCAGTGAAACCGAACATATGCGAATCTTAGTGAGTACACGAGCGAATCTACTCTCGGTGCAACAAATACATTCTTTTCTTCTTTATGAATATCTATAAATTTCGACGGCTTGTTGAATCCAATCAACCAATCAACGAGCGTGGCCCGCAACGATGACATTCGGATGTTATTCAATGGGCCAACAGAAACTTCTTTTTTTTAATTTAAATTGTGAAATATATAAATATTTATAAAGATAAAGAAATGCCTTTGTTGCCCGAGTGAATACAGTTGAACAGCGTGCGTAGACGAAATTCGAACAAACGATCAAATGAAACCCCAAAACGATCGCACGCGATGAATATCCCTGAAATGTAAACGTGTTCCTTTCCTTAGTCAAATTGCATCATGGGTAATCGAATATATATAATCTTGTTAAGTATATTACACATGATATAACTCTAAAATAAAAATAGAAGCAATGTTTCATGTTTAAGCACAACATCACAAAAAAATCACAAAATAAAAATTAACTAGTTTTTATCAAAATTATGAAATTATCGGAAATAGGAAAATACGTGTCACGGTGATATAATGCTGCTTGTATGCATGTGACGTCACTTAGCACCAGCGGATCATTTGGTCAGGCAAATTCAGCTTGTGGAGTCAGTATCGAGACGTGCGCGAGCGTTATTTTGTCAGCTAAGATGGTTGCCAATCAATGTGAACCTTTTTTATAGCAACACCACACCGTACATACAAAGAATATATATATAAAGAACGGAGCATGTCAAAGAAGTACCACAGAGGGCAGGCTTGTAGTAGCAACCACATTACCGGTTTACTATTATCCTCTGATCCGGTTCGTCAACTAAACTATCCCTGTATCATTGGTTATCATGGAGTTAATATCAGTAGTAAGGAACATGCGTATTAGTATTTACATGTAAGAGGATCGCAGACCGTAGTTGGCGCTTTACTGCCGATGTTAGATTGGCTTGCAAGGAAGATAAACGACATATCAGCGTGCATCACGAATGACTCCAAACCCATGCAATTGTAGTATGCAGTATTATACAAATTATAGAAGGAATTTAAGCTATAAAGCGGAAGAAAGCTACTAAACAAAGTGAATTAATGCAGCCATTTCAAGGCTAGAAAGAAGAAACTAAAATGGCTATCTTGACCGCTTGTGCAATGATAAGATTGTACAATTACGGACAATTCTAGCCAGCGGCAATCGTCAGAAAAGCTGCTTAAAGCGCATTGGAAGAGGTAAAGGCCATTCGTATTCATTTGGGATGAAACCACGAACGTTTGACTCGAGGAAGAATAGCATTGGAAACCATATTTTGGTCCATTTGTAGTGACGTCTCAGTGACGGACTGCTTGCCAAGGCATGGTAGTGCACGAACATACTGTAGGTAATGTAGAATCCGAGTATGACGTCAACAGTGTAATGACCATGTGACGCAAGAATACACAACATTCCCACGAATCCTAAGAGCCACGTGACGACATGTAAAGAATAATACTTCTTTGTCGAATCTGTGTGAAAAGTAAGACATTAAAAGAAAGTGTGTTTTATTTCGATTCTTAGTATTTCTTTAATTTATGCAATTCTGAGCAAAAATATTCTCTGTGTTGCCAACTCAGTATGTATGGGGCGATATGTTAGTATGTATACTATGCGCATGTCATTGCATTTATCGTTCACCATTCATTCTTCTAACGAAAGTCTATATTTAACCTTTCATCACGTTTTTTGATCACCTACGCTTGACACTCCCCTTCTATCGATTACCCATAATCTGTCCTTAACCTTTATATTGTTTACCCAGAATTACCCTTCATTTTTATAACGATCGTCCATATTTAACCCTTTGCCCTTTTATCAACCACCTACTTTCGACCCGTCACTCGCCTATCGATTACCACTAATTGACCATTCAGCCATATATCGCAATTACACTTCAATTACACGTCTATATTTAATCCCTCGATATATATATATATATCGATCACCTACATTCGACCCGTCATCCTCTTATCGATTACCTATAATTTTTCTTTCAACCTTGCATCGATCGCCTACTTTTGGCTCGTCAACCCCATATCGATCACCCATAATTACATAATTATTCTTCTGACGATTGCTCATATTTAACCCTTCACACTTTTATCGATCACCTACTTTGGAAAACAAACTTTTTGTAGTCACCTGTACTCACCCGTTCCCTCCGTGTGTTTTTTTACAACTCAGAGGATATTGTTTTAATTAAAAAAAATCACGAAAAAAGAAAAGAAAATGAATTTGTAACGTGACAGTTCTTGGCGCAAACACATCTATGTCGATACGTTAATTTGAAATGTGACACGTTCATTTGATAATAAATTAAAGCAACACACTCACATTCCGTAATAAATAGACACACGACTGTCAACATCATAGCGTGTCCACTAAATATGTAAGCTCCACAAAGCCTGCCACCTGTTGACGTCATGCCAAGTTTAATGAACGTTTGGAAGGCTATTTTCGCTCGTATCCAGTTTGTGCGGCCTTCCTGTCAATAAAAAAAAATAGATGTGTCCATCATTATTGTAATAAAAGATTACACGCATATGTCACTATGATAAAGAACGTTAAAATATGAGGACAGTGTACAATTTGTTTGAAATAAAATGTTACATCATTTTCTTTCTCTAGAAAGGATCCTGAGATAAAATGTCAAGACTGTGATAACAGACTATTATTTGCTTTTACAAGTCCTGGTAGTGTTAATTTTGCAGTAGTTTAAAACATTACTTGCCGATTCCCATACATTGAGTAAGTTCATTCTGAGCATAGAAACATATGAAAATCAGGTATGTTACATGTTTCAGTGTATAAACCAGTTGCATGTATGCCGATTTGTTACTTAAATGTTGTTAAAGTGGTTATTTCGCATTTGCAATCAAAACACAATATTTAAAACCATTGTAAAAGACACGACTTCAATGACCACCGAAATTAGGGCATCACGCACATACACGTTTTGATAGGTTGAAAATTTCTAGCTAAAGTTTAATTGATTCTATAATATCGTACATACCTCTTTAATACATGGGATCCCTTGTCCGCATTCCGGAAGTGACGTCACAAGGATGGTAGCATCTCGCAGCAAATACAAAGTACCTACCATGCAAAGAAATCGGCGAGTCACGATATATCTAAGAAAGGAAATAACCATGGTTACTAATAACATTAATATATAATCAATCAATTTACTAAGGTAAATTATTGAAGAATATTTGCAATACAATATATATATTTCTTGTGAAAATACCGTAATAACATGATAATTAGTACACTAATATATTTACGAGTTCAGTACATTGATGATACTATGCTTTTAAAATATTATAGGATGTATTCATTCCAAGATTCCCCAAGTATGAAACAATAATATAAATGTGAAATGATAACTTTGTCAGTACAGAATTAAGCCCATTGATTTTACAACATTTTTTGCTTTGAACGTTGCCATAGTAACATCCTGGATATGAAAGTGAGTTCTGTTTTAGACACCTTTCCATGGCAAATGAAAAGCCGTTCACAATATACTCATTGGCATTTAAATTGTGTCCACCTGTGTTTAAATTCGAAGAGAAGCTTTATTGAACCATCAAAGGATGAAGCACGGACGTCAAATTATCATTTAAATGGGGTGCTCTTTGGGTAGCCCGCACAAGCAATCTGTACAAATCATAATAGAGTCTGTGAATCGAGTCAGAGAGTGAGTATTTCGTAATGTTACTGATGCTTTATTGTCAGTCATTGGTTTCATCAATTCGCGAACATTTCCAAACACTTTTCTGTTCAATTCCAACGACGAATTAGAATTTATAATGTGAACTACATTACATTTATAAATATAAAATAAATATGTTGTTTGCTGCTAGCATAAATCTATTTAATATTTGCACAAATTTGTTTAGTGCTCGACAAAACCCATTATTTGTAAATGGATTTCATGCAATTACTGAGTAAATATTTGTTTATATATGTATATCATTAACATATATTCTTTGTGATATATATGTATACGTTTAAGTGGATTTCATGCAATTACTGAGTAAATATTTGTTTATATATGTATATCATTAACATATATTCTTTGTGATATATATGTATACGTTTAAGTGGATTTCAAGCGACATCCAGGATATAAATTTAAAATTGAGTTGGTTGATATTATAGTTTACTAAACGTAAACAGAAGCTATTTAAATTTTCAAACATGTTCTGACAAGAAACATGATATTAATTTGATTGATATAAATAAACAATGTGACGTCATGAAATTTAATACAAATTTAGCGATTTTAATGTTGATAATATAGCTTTTTTGTTCATATTAACATATGATGTTTTTGGAACAAACCAATGAATATATTTAATGAGTAAATCAAAATTGAATATATATGTATATATCAAAACACAAAAATATTTACAATATCCTTTTGAAGGTAAATACAACAAAATTATATTTTCAACAAATCCAGTTTAAATTTGGTTGTATAATAATAATAACACTACGATAAGTACTTTCCGTTTTAGACGTCGTGAAATTCTTTCGTTTTAACGAGAAAATAACGCCAAAAAGTGAAGATTATTTTTTATAAATTAAATTAAAACTAATTAATTAAAATCTACATATTTAACAGACGACGTCATCTAAAGCAAATAATAAGTTTGCTAGGCATGCGTATTTGCTTGAGATGACGTCGTCTGTTAAGTTGGCATATGTGTGGACTTTCTTTTCAAGATGGCCGTGATAAGGGTTTTGTTACCGATCGCCTGAGTGATATTTTTCAAGCCTGTAAACATGACCGATCGTATTTAACGAGGTAATGTCTGTGATCGATCGATTCTCCTGTTATTAATTTCCATTTGTAGCTAAATTTAAGGGATTAAAACATTGTGATTTGATAAAATGTACACAGTTTTCGAGTTGGTGTAAGAAAGTAATGGACGAAGCTTATATACGTATATAAACTCGTACTTCTATTAAAGTTATCAAATTACACATACAGACAACTGATTAAGAAACGTGACTAGCGCATGTGGTAAATATTGCCCCGAATCGCCCAGTTGTGGCGTCACAGCAGTCAAACGAAAACTGGGCAGGCGCCCGCGTCACCCGAGGCGACGGCGAGAACGCACCCCAACCAAAATATTGCCAAGCAGGTGTTCGATTTTCGAACCCGATGAAATCGTCCGCTTTGTTTATAGATTCTGCCTGTTTTCAAAGTGAGAAAATCATTTTTTACTTTCGGTTGCACAAACGGCGTGACAGTGGGACGATTTAGTCGTCAATACTACGAAGTGCTTTTGTTTATATTTCTTCGCCTGGAAATCGACAGGACGGTCAGCTTGATAACCGTTTTCACAACTGACAGTGCATTTATCATTATCAACTATCAATACAATATTTTAAAACTTGTTTACCAGGAAGAAGAAATCAGTGAGAGAGAACAAAAACACAACAAGAATACGTGTAGTAAAAGTCTTGTGAGTTTCACCACAAAATGGCGTTTGTGGTGGTAAAGATACTTCCGGCGTTATGGACGCAAAGGAGAGTGACTGCAATTCTTTCTGTATAAACGTGACCGTGAGTCCATTGAATATATTATTATTTTATACTCGCTATCCAAATAAAGAACCGTTTGCCTGAGATGTAGCGTAAATATGAACAGTGTAAATATGAACTTTAATAAATAATGAAAGGTCAGTCATACAGGCAAACTCAGTGTTTGCAGTGCCTGACGCGTTGCTGGGGAGGAAGGTCATAAGAAGTTAACATATTAACTATTAATAATATTAATGGAGGTGAACTCAATAATAAATACGTCGATTATGTGGTTTTATAAGAATTGTTTTTGCATAATACTGCCTGATAATATGGCATTTCGTCGTTTATCGAAGAAAGTGAAAATTCTTTTATGATTACCGAATTTCTAACTATATTAATGTATATGATATATGAAGGTTGGAGTCAAGGAGGATACGAGTATACGCATTTCATGTCTTTATTTGCCCAAGTGATTAATTTACGGAACTACGTATAAATCAAAGTGTGTTGACAAAACGGAGATATCGCCGGGTGTTACGTTATACTACGTTGCTGACGCCGTCCTATTTATTGTGTAGGGTAAGAATGTACAACACAATATGACTTGTCTGTTATCCTATTCGTTTGTGACTTTTGGCGATTTTAATAGATCACGGAGAAATCGGGTCTGAACAATTTGATGGTTTCAAATCACAAGTCCCCCAAATAACACAAACAAAATCCAAGACCCAAGTTGATAACTTTCCCAGTAACATGACTTGAATAACGTAAAAAATGTATACGCTGCCATGGTTACGTGTTATGAAAAATGTAAAAATGGCAAAATAAATGTGTATTTCACAAGCCGCCACCACGCAAAGAAATATATCATATTAGTAACTCACCTGTGTTTATGTAATACTGCTATGGTAATAAGCATACAAACAAGAAGAACCACAATTCCTTCCGATATTGTGCCTGCCCATGGCGTTATTGGAACATTATCTAAGATTAAATCAGGCAATGGTGGATGTACCTGGGCGTCTGGCATTCGGTCATGCACAACGGATTCAATAAATGTGGTACAGTAACTCGCAACAATAATGTAAATTAGGCTCATGACAGTTTTCCATCGTTCAGGTTCGAAACTAGTCCTAATTTTCCCCGGAATAGCGCCGTTGGCGGCCAACATCCCGTGGTTGCCAGGGGTGGGTTTCTCAAATGCAGTCATAGCGTCCACTGAACTTTCTACGTGTTGCATGGGTATCAGCAAAACAGTATCATCCCTGGCTATATTCTTGGTCCATCGATCCATCTTGTGTGTGCATGGTCCGTCCACCATGTTGTCTATTGTCTTCTTATATATATTTATATAATAGATATATAATAAGATATACTTGAGATAGCTACGTCATCACAGTCATATGCAATAAACCTACAATATAAATATAGTTAGAGGAGTTACATACACGAGTTGCATGTACTGGTGATAATATAACTTCTGTGTATCTATCCCATGGCAAATGGTGGCTTTCTGTTGAATCTTGACAAGAACTACACTATTTTTTAATGAAAAATACTTAATTTTCAGTATTAAGATATATCAATTAAATAACAGCTAGAATAATTGAGAACTATAAACACGGTTTAATTATTAACCACTTTAAAAACTGAAATAAGTAAACACACGACATGCTAAATATAATACATATACTTTTCCGTTTACACATAATTGTTGTTTGCGACAATGTTACATCAATGTGTTTACCTCAATGAATTTCCCTTCATAACTCAAAGCCATTCACACATTCACTACTGAAAACAACACAGTTAATTTTCTGGTGATTTGACAGTAACTGAAATCTGTTAACTATTTAAATTGATTTGATGAACACATGATTGTGTTGTATACAACATTATTATATTGAATGCTACAAACAAAATATATCAACTATGCAGCCGACTATGCAGCTGGTCCTGTTCTGCCCTGCATTAGCGACAGTGTTGAAAATTCGCATATTCCATTTCAACGGAATGTAAAATAAGATTGTATTTAAAATCACTTGAACATGTCAGTACAAATTATTTCTATTTTAATTTGTTTTTAATTTTTCTATGACAATTTATTATAAACGACATATCATAGCACTGTAAGTATACAATCCGGCTAAACACTTAATCAACATTACTAAAGAGCGCCACCATTTGAATGCATAAATGACAAATTATGAAATGAGATTATTCCTGTTTATTGAATATTTAAGGTCAAATTGCGCATTGAGTATTTACTGGGATTAAAAATCCAAAAATTAACTTGTTAAATGAAAGTTATTTTACCCTTCAAGAGTATATCCTTTCAAATACAAATTCTGAAGGTGCTAGTTAGTCTAGACAAATTTCAGTAAAAATAAAAATAGCAAGGTATTAGTATTAACGGACATGGAATCAGTGATATGAAAATTACCAGTCTGTATTTTTTAAAATAGAACAACTGAATGGATTATGCAAATGAAGCTTGGTTGCCTGGGTTGATTTTAGTTTTTACTGTATTAACTGCTATACTTCTAAGCTCATTAAGTGAGGAATATGACGTAATATTAAATTAAAAATCATGCGGTAAGCCTGACGTACAGACATAATTTTAAATCATTTGAAATATGTTACAAATTGTGCAGTGGATCACCCCCATCCATGGCTTCCATTTATTTATTTATTTATTTATTTATTTATTTATTTATTTATTTATTTATTTATTTATTTATTTATTTATTTATTTATTTATTTATTTATTTATTTATTTATTTATTTATTTATTTATTTATTTATTTATTTATTTATTTATTTATTTATTTATTTATTTATTTATTATGCTTAATTTATAATTTGAGCCCATGTTACATTTTTCAAGACGTTTCAAAAATATCAACAGCAACAGCATCGATAATAATTTTAGTATCTGCGTACAATAATGCAAAAATAATTCTTCAAATTAATTGACATGGTGTTTAACTCTCCAGTAAACGGGGCTTAATATGCCACCCTGTCATATTTTGATCACGTAACTTGGCGTTTATAAATCTAAAGCACAAAATCAAATACATATTTAATATATATATATAAAATAAAATAAAATATTTATTCACCAAATAATAATTAACATTGTAATGATATATATTCATTTGAACCAGTAAGAAACATTTGAATCTACTGGTTAATAGCCAAATGATTTGGGGAAGTCCAAAACTGTACAATCCAACTTCCCCATTTTAGAGATACATTTAAATAATTGCGTACAAGAGAAACATGTTATTCACTGCACTGTGTTTCTGGTAATATATTTGCACCATCTTGCATCTATTAATAATGATGCGAATATTTCCCCGCTTTATTTTAGAAATGAAACCGCTGCTATTGTTCACATCATTTACTCCAAGTGATTACTCATGGTGAATTTTTCCTGACTTTATTAAATTAAATTAACAATCGGTACCACCGCAATTCTTTGTTTTACTGGGTCAGATCATTGTAAAAGTACGAATCCAACGTTACAATTATGTCGAGCAGAAATACAATCGTCTCTGATACACAGAATCGTGACAACTCATCACGTTTAATATTGATTACATTCAAACTGCTTAAACTAATGTTAAATTTAAAATATTGCCACGAAGCTAACAACTTTTGATATCTTTGTTTTTTCGGTTTTTATGCGCATGCCCACACATTCATTTGAATAGTTCAGAATTAAGGAAAAGAACAAACTCGTTTCATGCCAAATAAAATTCATGCAGAAAGTCAACAATCCATAAAACACTCCCTGCAAGTCAAATACAAAGGAAGTAACAACGTGAACCCTATAAAAAGACAGGAAATCAGGTGTTCCTGGAGCGTAAGCATTTCTTCCTGCACGAATGTATCACCTTTTCTGATTTAGCTTCCAAGTCTAATCAGCGATAAAACAAAGGCAAAAGAATTACAGATTTGGACGACAGATCCGAATAAGCCGAAACACTTATCTAACAACCAATTCACGAAAGCCTATTCGTTAAGCATAGAACGTTGATATCCCTGCCCAAGAAAGACTTGGTGACACGTATTCTGACGTTGTTATTGGATAAAATTTCCCACAAAAAGATTTGAAACTCCGTGTTTAATTGCGAAAGGCATTTAAGAGCATACAACACACATTTAGATTTTGTTCGATAGTATTTAAATACTAAAACAGCACGAATCGTGCTTTCAAATTGATAGAAACCACAATTAATAAGTAAACTACTGATCACATTGCTATGAGATAACTATGAGATCTAACCCTGCCCATACATTGATATGTACGTGTAATTATGTGAAACATTCATTAAACACAAAATAACAATCTCACCTTTTGTATAATATGGAAACTTGAAATTGTCAGCCTATGGTTACACGTACGCGCCTTTATTGCATGTGAATTTGACGTCATGTCCACGTCAGAACACCACATAAATTGTAACTAAGTGCGTATATACATAAATAAACAAATGCCGGTTACCAAGAATGGAAACCAGCTGCGGTCATGACATGGTGACCAGTGGAGATAATGAACAAGAAACAGAAAATATAGAACAACAAATGGGTACATTTCCCATATTATGAAATAATTTTAATATTAATGGTTCTTATTATAACTGTGGAATTGGATCTGGTGAAACCTACTACACTAAAAGCTTATATTTTATTATAATTAAAATAAATTCTAGTACAACATTATTCCAGCTTTTTCCAAGGGTTGAATTTCAGAAAAAAAAACGTCCCGTCTGTAACATGCAATTTGTTCAGATAATTAGGACATATTCAGAATACATATGGTATTTCAATTTTTTTCTCGACGATTACAAAGATAAGAAATTTAAAAGGTCAATTTGCGCAGAGTTAAATTGGCGTTAGTCACACTCACATGATTGTCAGTCATTTTATAGCATGTTACTTATCAATCATAGTCCTGAATGTGAATATAGTCAAGAAAGTCGTAAGAAACAATTAAAAGTATGTTTCAATTTATACGATCGAACTACCAATAAAAATTATTCATATAAATCGTACAGTTTCGAGAAACCACCTGTTGATGTGTTGCATGGGCTATGCTGGTAGTGAGTGGATATGTACAGTTACTGGATGTTAAACTGACTCGTACTGAATTTTCCCATCCCAGGCTGATATCTGTGTCAACTTGTCCGCTTGTACTAGTTAAATGTTTACATAGCAAGTTACTATAACAACGTGGTTTATCTAATGATTGTGGGTTAATGTACATCAATTAGAGTCGTTTCCACGTGAAAACGCAGCGTCATTTGGGAAGTAAGTCGAGTCAATATGTGTATGGGCGTATGCATATACACGTGTAGGCATATCAAAAACCCATCCGTTAAGACATCACAAAAAAACGACTGTATTTAAGAAAATACAAATAAAGATGTTTTGTGGAATAGACACAATGGAGTTTAGTTCAATGTCAGTTCTTAATATTGAGTAATAAAATACAAGTATACATTATGTTAGAAATGTTTGAAATGTTTGCTGTGGTCACAGCTCACAGTGATCTCATAGTTTTTCAAGTGTATTATATTACCTACCGCATTTGTTAATCTTTAACTAAATTCGTGACCTTTGTTAGAGTCAAGCACACTCTATGCTTTTTATGAATCATTTTTGTAAGAACATATTCGATTCCATGCGACTTAAATTCACGTATAACCAGTGTCATTAAAATACAATATATTGCAAGAAATGACAGTAGATCTGAGAGATAATCACGTGATCAAGTGATGTAAATAAATGAATACTTACTTTTGGCATATATTTCATATTGTGTCAATCTGTGACGTCAAATTAGATAGGAAATGTACAGACTCTTGGAGCATATAAATGCAGTGGTTGCTGCTGGACGGATCCTGTATACAAATAGTTATTAGAAGAGGAAGGCGACAATGGGCGTATCCATGCGCAGCACTGCACTGTGCCCTTTGCTATTTTAAGAGGACTGACCTTTGTAACATCAGATATGTGTCAGTTGAGGGCGCACATACGACATATGTGTCTGGTTCCAGGCCCCAAACGCCATATAGCAAAAAAATCTACAAGAGGACGCATCAGGTAATCGTATCTGCAATCACATGAGGAAAAGACGTATGCGCATGCGTTATTGAAACGCCTCGTCTCTCTTTCGGTTAATCTTTATCACGGGGTTCAATGAAAACATTTTTTTCTGAAAAGGAAAGAAACAGGAATCGCTTGAATTACGAATTACGATTCATTTAAGCAAAATGTCCACTCGTTGTGTTAGTGGATTCACATCCAGGGTTAGCAGGGTTAGTTCTGTCACTTGGGTTGAGTTGACGGATGAACTTGTGTTAATCGCCTTAAGTATAAGTAACACTGTCCGGGTTAAATTTTTGTATGTTATTTGGGTTTACATTGCATTGTGGTATATATCATGTTGGGGTGAGACAACTACGCCCTCTATCGTGATCATGCGAACTGATTTACGCCCGCAGCGGTCGAAGTGGGGAGTAGCCAGAGGTTTAGTTTTATGTACACTTGGGCGTAAAGCTTGTCTGGTAAAATGTAGCGTTTTCATCACGATTGTAAACATTGACATAATTATTTACCAGGCACTACGTCAGAAAATCAGATATACAAGAAACATTTGTTGGAAATATATAGCGAAGGATTCTCATCCGTGTTCTTGCCCTGCTCCATGGCGACAAAGTTGCGACAGAACCATACTAAAAGATGCATACACAGTGCATAATGCTGTTGTGTGCAAGGTTGGTAAAATCTCGTGGAACGTCCGTTATGTCGTAAAATTGCATGTGGAGTCCATAAAGGCACGTACAAAGCGCGTAAACTGTAAGAAAAAGCGGAAAAGTTGCATGCAAAGTCGGAAAAGCAACGTGCAAACGTAGGTAAAGTTACTTGCAACAACAGTCACGCGACGTGCAAAATAGGTGAAGTTAGAAGGTTTGCAAATAGGAAATTTGTTAAGCTGCTTTTAAAGTACGTAATGCTGCATTCATAAAGGAGAAATATGCGTGCAAAGTAGGGAAAGTAACGTGGAAAGGCGTGAAAAGTTTCGTTTAATGTCATGTTACGCGCAAAATATGTATTGTTACGTGGAAAATTCGGAAACTTGTATGTAAAGTTATGTACAAGGTGCGTAAGTATGCAAAAACGGGAAAGTTGAATGCCACCCATGTAAATTAACGTGGAACGTCCTTTATGTTACGTGCAAAGTAGGGAAAGTTACGGAGAAGGTTAGTAAACTTGAATGTAAATTCAACAAAGTTAGTACAAAATCCACAATTCTTCATAAAAAGGCCGGTAATATGCCATATTACGTTAAAATCACATAGAACATCTGTAAACATGCATGCAAAGTCAATAACATTGGGTGAAAAGTGTCTAATGTTGCACACAAATGCGGGAAAGTTGGAAGAAATGCCAGCAAAAGTAACGTGCAAAGTAGGCAAAGCGGGTGTATGTTACGTATAAAAAATATAAAGTTGCGTAGAAGGTCACGATGAGATGCGTTGTCTCAAATCCGTATTTCGGACGAAGGTTATTGTGAAATAAACACAACTCAAGAAAAGGTCATTGCCACATTGTTCGTATCTTCGAAACATGTTTCATATTAGCCTCACAAGGAATGTCTATGTTGACTGGAACGATATAAACACTGATGCTTCTGATGTTATTGTTTTAATTTATTACCAATATGTTCTTGTCCCTGCTCGCAATTGTTGAATGTTGTTTCTACAGTTTCACAAAATGTTCGAATTTTAGTAACAACAATAAGTCGGAGACTAAGTATAACAACAAATCTTGTAAATCTTTACAAAAATATTGCGACTGTCTTTTTTTATGAAACGTTATACACCAACTTACTTTATTAATGTTTCTATTTGTCATGTCATCAGTGGAAATATTTTATGAAATGTGTTTATAATACTATGATGGCTTAATTATTGTGTTATTAAACCTTCATCTTAGGTACAAGGGTTCATTACGTTCGCAACCTTTTACTGAACAAAGACACACACAGATTTAGTATACGTGTCAACTTCTAAATCTTAGTCGCCCGTCGAGAACTCTCCAAGACAAAATGCCTCAGGGAAAAGTCCCCCAAGACTCTCTCAAGACTGCATGGTAAGCTTGCCAAGACCGATTAAGACTCCCTTTATTCACTTCTTAAACCTTAGCCAATCACAGGGAAGTTTAAAAGCTTAAGGCGAAGCATCCAAACACTCAACTCGCATGTAGCCAGTCACACGAAGTACTTAACACGTCATATACACTGATTAATTGATCTCTATGTTAAGAAACTACACATACCAAACTGTCAGATTATAACGGTCTGTTAGCAAAGTTTGTATCGTAATTAGTTCCATTCACTGACTCAAGTTCCGCCCAGGACCTCGCATACCCCTAAATGATGGCAAGTTATGGAAAAGCGTCGAATGTTGTCAACCAGCTACTCACTGGAAACCAGCTATTAAGTCGTATCAGTGACGCATCTCTAGATACATGGAAATAAATAATGACAATACAACCACTTTTTTGATATTGGGACTGCGTTTCACGTGAAAGCACATTTTAGAAATCTGTCCAGTGAAAACGCTTTTCAAAGTGTCGTGATAATAAACACTTTTCAATACGCATGTCTCTGACGGAAACACTTTTCAAAATGTGTATCCAGTGAAAGCACTTTTCAAAGTGTCGTGATAGTAAACACTTCTGTATACCATGTCCCCGATTGAAACACTGTTCGTGATCATAACCATATTTTCAAAACTATTGCAATACTCGGAATTTACAGTACAGTAATATATTTGAATATATACATGGCGAGAAGGAACATGGCCCTGTGGAGTGTTTGGCATATTCACTTATTTTGTAAAATTTTGTTTTGTTGAAGAAGAAACGCATAAATGTTATAATTATTGTCCGAACTGTATTAAAACGAGTTTCATTTTTTGCTGTGCTGTTCTTTTTACTGTGAAATGCGGAATCAATATTTGCCGACATTTTATTTCACACACCAAGATCGCATCACATTTTTCTCTTAATGACAACAGGAAATAAATCGTTACAGAAAACCTTTTCTTTTATTTGCGTTGTGCTTTTCACAGAAATTTAAAAGTGTTTGAAATAATGTAAATACTATGAAGTCGGTATTTATTGTACTTTTTGAACATATTAACGTCAGTTGCTTTATAAGTATTATAATCATAATTATATTATATTATAATTATTTAAAAATAAGGCCAAAGGTCAACCTACTGAATGATGTAGCACATATATCTCGAATTGAGAAGTGCTAGGAAGTCAATGGTTGGTGAGGCGGCATTAGATGAATAATCTAATAAGCTTTGGCCCTGGTCAGACAAGGTGGTCAAGATATTCCACGAGACTTTCGACTTTCGCCAGTTCTTCTAACGATTGTTTCTCCGTTCCGGGTCCATACTTCCATTACTAGACTGT